GGCTGCGCCGTTACTGCGTCTTCTCGCACGAGGAGCTGATCTGCAAGATGGCTGCCTGTCCTGAGAAGCTGGACCTCAACCTGGCAGCTGCTGTCCACAAGGAGATGTTTGTCCTGGTGCAGGAGGAGAGGAAGCTCCGTAAGGCCCTGCTGGAAAAGGTGGGCAGGGAAGCATCTGGAACATCCTGGGGGTCATGGGGAAGAGTCGTGGGGTGGTGGGGCTGGGAAGGGACCTGTGGAGATGGTCCAGGTCAGCTACAGTAGATCCCAAAGGGTTGTATCCAGTTGGGTTTGGGGTGTTTTCAGACCTGGGCATGTGTCTCCAGGCCTGGAAACGTGTATCCATGGAGGCTCCACCAGTTTCCATGGAGGCTTCACCAGGGCAGCCCATCCCAAGGCTCTGCCTCCCTCCCAGTCAAGAAGTTCCAGGTTGTCCCCATTCCTCTTGTCCTGCCCCCAGGCAGCACTGGGAGGAGCTTGGTCCCACCTCCTGCCCTCTCATCCCACCTCAGTCGTCTCCAGACTCCATGTCCTTTCCTCAGAGATGTTCCAGTCCCTCCATCATCTCCATACCCTTTGTTGTCCCCTCTCTAGCAGCTCCTTGACCCGGGGAGCCCAGGACTGGACCCACTTCTCCAGATGTGGGGCAGGAGAACCTCCCTGTTCACGTCTCGTGTCCCTCAGCCCATTCCCAATCCCTCATCATAGGAATTTCCTCCATCCCAGGGGATCGTGGAGGCTGTTCCCCAACCTATTCCCAGTCTCCCTTCACTGGGAATGTTCCCCATCCCAAGGGATCACAGGGGCAGACCCTGTTCAGCTGCCCCCCAGCCCCTTCCCAGTCCCTCCTTTCACTGGGAATGTTCCCAATCCCAGGGAATCGCAGAGTTCGGGGGGGACTCTTCAGCTGTTCCCCAGCCCCCCCCCCCTCACTGGGAATCTTCCCCAATCCCTGGGGATCACAGAGGCAAGAGCTGGGGGGCCGTTCAGCTCTCCCCAGCCCCCCCCTCACCAGGAATCTTCCCCCAATCCCAGGGGATCACGGAGGCGGAGCGCGAGGCCTTCGAGCTGCTGCCGGACGACGAGCGCCAGTGCGACAAGTGCAAGACGACGTGTTTCCTGTCGGCCCTGGCCTGCTACGACTGCCCCCAGGGGCTGGTGTGTCTCTACCACATGGACGACCTCTGCAAGTGCCCCCGCAGCAAGCAGTACCTCAGGTGGGGGGCACACACCTGGGGGGG